CCAGGAGAAAGCCTTGGTATCTGAGAGACATGCAATGCAGAGTAGTCATTTCTTGCTCCTCGTCATTTTCAATATCCTAATGTTCCCGAAACATGTCTTTATTCACTCATAACCAATTGCGTAGGTCCCCTGTTCGTTTGTCTATCTTCCCGGCTCGGAGACTGCCAGGTACCACTGGAAGGAGCCTCGGTAGAGCCGAGAGTGTCTTTAGAGGCATAAGTCATGTCGTCACACCCCTTGAGCAACGTAGCCGTATTCTTTGCGCACCACGACTTTTCAGATTCCTACCACCCTCATGAATCCGCATTCTCCAACCTCCAACGACTCTGCCAAGCTAAATGATGGAGAAACGGAACGACAGAACGAACTCGGGCGGAAGGGAGCCTCAAGCAAGCCCTGCTTTCACAGCTCAACAAGCGATACGGGGAGAAAGAGACACTGGAGGGATGGCAGGCCATATGTCAAAAGCTTGGAGTAAACCCTGTTCCAAAGACCCTCGAAGCTGCGCGCGAGGTTTGTTCTTCTCCATTGCGACTCATTCAACAGGGCTTCGGGTTTGACGATCGACTGTGTTTCGTAGAAAGTCCGAACGAGCCACTTTAACCTCGTCGATCTCGCCGAAGCGGATGAACGACCCGTGCCGACGTTCAGAACGCAAAAGGAATTGGACAACTACACTGATGCGCATGGGTTGTATTTCACCATTGAAGCGGAGGATCCGTGTATCACTGATGAGATTATCATTCGACTTTTGGAGGATAGGAGATGAGAAGGAGGAGAAAGAGTAGAGTGTAAGATGAAGAGGTGAAGAGAAGGGGTGTCGACAATAAAGAGGAAGCCTTAGGGCTATCGCTGTTGAGGCGTTGTCAAGTAGGACGGCTTACAGGCATGCAATGTACAAGAGAACCAAAAGGTTACTAAAGTCGGGGAACATAATACAGGAGATTCGGACTCACATAATGAATGACAACTGTTAGAGAAACGAGATGGCGCGACTTGACAAGAAGCTGGGGATTGGTTGTCCCATGTTTGGCGAAGAGGATCACGAGGACCAGTGGAGGAGCAAATCGCGGAGGGAGAGACGGAGTAGTAGGCTCTTGAAAGACGTCCAAGTCGGTGAAGGGAGCCCCGGTATTCGCTGGTGGTGACGGGCACGGCACCGTTTGGCGTTGGCGATCCATGGTCCACATGGGGCACTCGGACCCAAGAACTGACTGACTAATTGCCACCAACGGCGATCTCGTCAAGTGGACCTGTGCCTTGTGGTGGCATGACACCTACAAGTAAACTTGGATTAGTGGAGACCTCCCTTTTCCACTCGTTCTCCGAGACGGGGTGGAGGATCACGACTCTCCGCGCAGTGTATGGCATTCGAAGCATTCCGACTTGCTTGAGAAGAGGTTCAAGAACAAGTCTGGATGATGATGAAGAGACCTTGGAAACGTCTTAGGTGGAGCACGGCGGCCTTAGCGTGTACAGGATGAGGAAACTTAAAGTAGAATTTGAGCATGCGTCCTAATAGACACTGAGCTGGAAGATGTGAATGACCCACCCGTCGTTGGCACGAAGCTCCGGAGAACTCTGGACGAGAGCTCCAACATTTGAGTGATGGAATAGAGTTGCCCTCGATCCACTCAAGTGGCAGAAAGCACTGGCTGTCGACCCACCAGACAGGAAGATACCATCGGGTCACTGGCAGAAAGCAGCTGTCAACAAGCTGTCAATGCGCCTGACAGATAGCGGTGTTCGACGTAGACGTTCGTGCAACGTGCCTGGAAACGACAGATCAAGCATGCAAGGGACGGAACTGGAACCTGGGACTCGGGAGTCGGTGTAGCGGCGGAAGCAGACATTGCTTCTCGCAGTGGTTGGAACAGGTACGCTCCGAGTATTGCATGTTCCCGAACGTAATTATCAAGGTTCTCTAGATTGGTCTCGAGACACAAGACAATCTTCGCTTGTGATGAAAAGATAGAAGCTTAGGTTTGGAAACGTAGATGTCCTGTCATTCATAATCTAAGCAACACTTTTGTCAGATGAGTATGCATGTCATTTTGGATTAGCGAAACCAAACGTACACTTTGTCATCTATTTCAATCGCTCTGACGTTTCCCCGCGATTCGTCAAGCAAAAACAGCTCCATAGCCTGATCTTCTTTCTTCTTCGCCTAATCCTTATTACCCTTTCTCTCCTCCCTCAACGCTTCCTTGAGCTTCTTCAACTGCACACTGACGGCGGTGTTCCCTCCCAGACTCCCTGCACTACGTTCCTGAAAGTCTTGCAGAAAATCTGCGATTTGTTTTTCCGTTGCCTTTGCTGATAGAGCGCGGGACGATGAGGTGTTAGGAAGGATGCGAATAGGTGGGTTAAGCGGGGCGTCCATGGCTGTACGGAATGTAGCGTCAGAGTTGCAATGTAAGAGGTTGGTAAGAGTCGTTCGTTGTGGAGGAGAAAAGGAAGATAGAGAAGACGCAAAACGCCGTCTAAAAGCCCCGGTCCCGCTTCCTCGATCTGAGATGGGATGTCTAAAAAAGGGGCAAATCAAAATTGATGGGGGACGTCGCGTGTTTGGAAATTTATGAATTGGGCGCCAGGTCAGAGATCGTACGAGTCCAGGAACTCGTAACATACGACTTCAATCTTCTTCTTCTTCTCTTCTTTCAATTTACTTCAAAACTCGTTTAACAAACGAGACTCGCCCCTATTTCTTTCTTTCATCACACTTGCCGACACGAACCGCGAAACGACGACACACCCTTCACACGAACGACCCCTGCTACGAAACAAAGAACCATGGGCGCAGTAAACTGGATTGTCCTTCTTCTCACCCACCCACTCGAATTCAGGACTCTCCTCCAATTCTACCTATACCACGAACAGAAACGCGACATCAAGGCTCTTCAGGGTATGCCTCAATTCCTCCTTTCTGGACGCTGAACTAACGACTGGACAGAACACCCAACGTCAGGATGGGACCGCGAATCCATGCAGCGATGCTGGCACTTTTTGGACCTTACAAGTAGGAGTTTCGCAGCTGTCATCAAAGAGTTGGATGGGGACCTTGCAAGAACCGTATGTCCTCGTTCCACATTACCTCTGTCCATGCTCACTCGTCCCTTTCGTAGATTGCTCTGTTTTACCTCGTCCTCCGAGGCCTCGACACGATCGAAGATGACATGACAATCCCCGACGCAACTAAACAGCCCATCTTGCGCAAGTTCCACGAACTCACCGTCACACCAGGTACGTGTTTCCCATACCACGTCTGCCTAACGCGCCGCTAACCACCTTATTCAGGCTGGAAATACGACGGATGCGGACCAGACGAGAAAGACCGACAACTTCTTGTCGAATATAACCTCGTCGTCAAAGAACTCAACCTCCTCGAGCCAAGGTACGCTTCGCCCCCCTTCCCTCCATTCCCCTCCGCACAACCGCTTACCCCCGTCTGTTGTTAGTTACAAAGCGGTCATTATCGACATCACCCACAAGATGGCTACAGGCATGGCAGACTATGCCCACGTAGCCGCCACATCCGCCTCCTCCTCCTCACCCAACGGCTCCGTCTACCTCTCCACCATCGCCGAATACGACCTCTACTGCCACTACGTCGCCGGCCTCGTTGGCGAAGGTCTCTCCCGAATCTTTGCTGCGTCGGGTAAAGAAGAGACGTGGCTAGGCGACCAGCTAGAGCTGTCGAATTCGATGGGGCTGTTGTTGCAAAAGACGAATATTATTCGTGATTTTAGAGAGGATGTGGAGCAGGGGAGACATTTTTGGCCAAAGGAGATTTGGGGACGCTATGGGTTTGAGGATATGAAGGAGATGTGTGCGTTGGATGAGGATGTGCAGACGCGTGCGAAATGGTACGTTCCCCTCCCTTCCTCATTGCTCTTCTCGATAGCTAACACATTCACCTTTACAGGGTCCAATCCCATATGATCCTCGACGCCCTCCGACACGTCGCCGACTCTCTCGACTACCTCAAACTCCTCAAAAACCAATCCGTCTTCAACTTCTGCGCCATCCCCGCGACAATGGCCATCGCCACCCTCTCCCTCTGCTTCTCCAACCCCGCCATGTTCCAACGCAACATCAAAATCCGTAAAGCCACTGCTGCCAAACTCATCATGCGATCTACCAACCCCCGCGAAGTCGCCTCCATCTTTCGCGAATACGCACGGGACATTCACCGTCGACTCGAGCCGCGCGACCCGAGCTACGTCAAGATTGGTGTATGTCTGGGACGGATCGAGAGTTGGATGGAGAGGAATTATCCGACCTTTGTGCAGGTGGTGGATTATTCGGCGCAAGGTGGATCACCCCAAGTCGAGTTTACGACGGACGATGTCCGGAGTAGAGTCTTCCGAGACGCTCAAAAGCGCAATCTCGAAGTAGCCAAACGGAATGGCCTCACGCCTGCACAGAGCGGGTTCAACGCAAAGGGACTCCCAGAAGGCTTCCCTGCGCTGTCGGATGAACCCGAGTCGGCGTCGAATGTCAAGGCGGGCGAGTCGAACGAGTTGATTGTGGTGGTTGGGGGTGCGATTTTCGTTGTGCTTGCGTTGGCGTTTGGTGCGGTGTGGGTGGTGCTAAAGTTTGTACCGATTGATGAGGTCGCTAGCAAGGTGGAATCTGCTGCGAGGGCGAGTGTGGTGCCCAAGGTCGAGTTGTAATGGTTGTTTCGTTCTTTGCATGCAGACACTTTATGGTTTCTTCGATCATTTGTTTTATAATACGTTTTTTACATCTAGGTATACCAATTCATTCTATTTAAATCTGGAATTAGACCACGAAGCCCGTCGCTCAAAGTTAGAATCACTCGATAATGAGGAGAACGCTGGATGTTAGTTAGCTCACTTGTATCAACTCAAAAAGCATACATGACCCAAACATAAACGTTGCATAAACCCTCGGACATGCATGGCAGTACGATGGATACTTAGCAGCGAACCCAAAATTAATTAGCCTTCCCAAACCCAGCGACGCGAGTAAAAATGCGTCACCTGAGCGATTCGAACACTCGCGTGCAAAGCACAACCGCTCACAGCTAAAGATAGCAGGCGATCCCGTTAACCACTCCGGCAAAGTGACCTTTGCATACGATTGTTTTTTGAACGTCTATAACTGCATCCGGCCTAATAAGACGAAGCTCTCCGCGGATCGTTGCTCATCGCAATAGATATAAAATGGATTTAATCGCTTAAGCTGCCGAATACTCCACCATTTGTGAGACAAGGGTAACATGCCAGACAGCCAGCACTAAACCTAGCACTGTCTCTAGCCAAAGTCCTAGCCTGGTTGGTCATTGGTCGGCCATCCCTGTCACTTTTCCGACTCGCAGGTGGCCTTTCGAGGGATTCTCTGTGCACGAAATCGTCTAACTCCCTTCCCTTTGGTAGTCTATGACTCTTTAGCCAACGAATTGAGATGGTATTGACTCCAGTCGTTCGGTTCGCCAGCATTGCTCTCTCTGTAATTTCGGCTGGCAAACCGAACAGCTAGTGTAAATTGAGCGTCTGGTTTATGACAGACTATAGTCGATCTCGTTTAGCGCAATTCTTGCACCCTTTTTAGGCAACTAGACCACTTTTTCTAGCGCCTGCTAACGTTGTGAGCCGAATGTAAAGCCCCTCCCAGACCTACCTTTTTCGCCTTCCACAACGACTCGTTATGGCATTCGCGCTAGACTATAGTCTATGAGATCTTCTTTGACAACTAGAGGCTAGGGTTCGATGAATGGTGTCAAGGCTGCGGTATATAAAGTCTGATGTGTCTCTGCCCAGTCTTCAGCAGCTCAGCTTCGTCTCTCAGTACTCGACTCGTCACACACACAGTCTTTCAATCGTACGTTCCCCTTGCATACTTCTCTCTTCATCCCTTGCTTACCTACTCTCTGTTCTGTCAAGATGCAACTTACAGCCATCGTCACCTTCTTCTTCGCATACATCGCTGCCGTGCAGGCGGTCCCTGTCGAGATCCCCGCTGGGGCCATCGCTGGCAGCGTTCTCGAGCGACGCCAAGGAACCCCTGATGTTCACGGGTTTATTGAGGACGTCAAAGATGCTGCCGCGCACCGTCTGGGTCTCGCATCGCCGGCCGTTCCTGCAGTGCCTGCCGTTCCTGGATTGCCCAACGTTCCTGTTAAACGGGGCATCTTCGCCGCCGCTCTTGGTTCCGTCAACGGCGCTGTTGGGCACATCAAGGGCAAAGCTCGCCCTGTCCAGCCTCCCGCTGGATTCATCACCCCTCTCAAGCGTGCCGAAAGCCTCTCAGGAACAGAAGAGACACCGTTTGATCTTGACGGCTTTTACAAGGATGTCGAAGCCGCTGTTGCCGCCCAAGACCAGGAAGCCTTGAACAGGCTCACGGACGCCGCCGCAGCCTACGTCCAACGCCTCGGCACCACGCTCCCTCCCTCTCCGGACGTACCCAAACTCGGCGTTGACGTGCCCAAGCTTCCTGGTAAACGGGAGAACGTCGAAGGCGTCACTGAGGCCGTCAACGACAATGCTCTCGAGCAAGACCTCGTCACTGTCCCAAAAGCTCAAGACCTTTCCGAACTTCTCCCTTCTCCCGTCCGAAGGCAGGACGACGCTGAAGAAGCGGAGTACTAGGTTAGCACTTACGAATCTGAACGAATTGAACGCCGATAAGCGCTCAAGCGTAGCTGCGGTGATGCATGTCGTTAATCATCTCTACAATCTCTCTATTATTCCGACTAATTGTTTCTACGAGTCCTGAGCTTTCCACTCCTTCGACCCAAGCCTTGTGCTCCATATAATTCGAATCACAGAGTTGATATCGTAATATGCTCAATCTTGTCTATTCCCCTTCCTTTTGTTTGTAACACATTCGTTGCCTTTCAATACATCTCAGCGTATTCCATTCTAATCACGAAGTTAGAATTTAATGTGAATGAGGACGGCGCCGTCTACGTATTAGTATACGAACTGGAAATGACAAACTCGTAAGCTTGTTCAGTGTGAGGAGGCCCACTGCAAGTTCGTTACAACTTGAGTCTTGTGGTGGAGTCCGCGAGGGCGATCTATGGAGTAGCTTCTCATCCGATCCAAGCGTAAGAGTGAAAGGCGTCACCCAAACAATCCGAAAGAAAGCGTCCTTTGAGGCTTCTAGTCCTCCGCCGACGACTTAAAACGCAACAACCTCTTTAGACACTCCACCTCTGCAGGCTAGAAGCCATCGTTTGTGTAACTTGCCATACACATTGGAGCTTGGCTAGTGCAAACGATGCAATGTTTGTCCCTTTTTAGGAAATTGCACCACTCTTTATGGCACTCCGCAGCGGCGGACCCGAACTTGTGCTCCTCCTCTCTCGAACACCCTGCAACGACGAGTTATGGCATTCGCGCTAAACTTTGAGATCTTCTCTGACGACCCATCGCTAGGGTTCAATGAATGACGTCTGGGTGGTATGTTCAGAGGTTTATAAAGTCTGGCGTGTCTCTGCCTGACCCCCCAGCAACCCAGCTTCTTCGTCTTCCAGCACTCAGCTTCTCCACAAACACGGAGTTCATTCATTCCTTTGCAAAACTATCCCCACTCGCTTTATCTCAACAAGATGCAATTCCACGTCCTCGTCTCCTTCTTCTTCGCCTATATTGCTGCGGTGCAAGCTTCTCCCGTCCAGCTTCCCAATATCCCCAGCACTGAAGCCATCAACCCTGTTGAGCTTCCTAACCTTCCTCGAGACCTTCCCGCTGGCGTCGCCGGTTCTATCCCAATCGAATTTCCCGATGTTACTGGCACCCTTAAAGGCATTGCCTTCCCCATCCCCGTTCCTCGTCGGTCTCTCACCGAGATCCTCAAGGACGTCACTCTGCCCATCCCCGTCCCTCGGGAAGTCACCGAGACCGTCGAGGACGTTGCATCGCTCAAGGTTGCATCGGTCGTTGACACTGTCGCGTACGAAGCGTCTCCCATCGTAGGCTTGGTCGGCGGCATCCCTGCCCCTCCTCTGCCCCATCGCCAAGTACCAAGCGCCCCTTCCACTGAGGGTATTATCCCAGAGGTTAAGGTCCCAACTGTCCCCGAAGTCCCATCCCTTCCCAACGTCGTCCCCGCTGTCCCCGTTGGAAGGCGGCAGGTGGGGGCTCCGGAGGTTAGCGCTCCCAAGATGGTCCGAGTCGTCCGCCGACAAGCGTCTGGATGCGCCGATCGGGGTGCTCGTCGTCAATCCGATTCTCCCGACAACACTCCCAGTGTTCCTGAAGTTCCTGCTATTCCTGAGGTTCCCGAGGTCCCTAGTGTCCCTGATGTTGAGACTCCTTCGCTTCCTACCCTCTAAAGCCATAGCATTAATTAATTATACTATACCCGGCCTTTATCAAGGTTACACCATAGAACCTCGTACAATAATTCCTTCCAGTGCAATCTGATTACAATCTTTCAACGCTTGTTCTGATTGTCTTGGTATGGTGGCAGCATCTTGACAAACTCCTGTTGCATTGCCTTCGTTGTCGCCGCCTAGGGTTGTATGAGCGGAAACAACGTCATTCGGGAAAAACAGAAGCTCCTTACGCACCGGTTAAGTTGGGGGAGAGATCGGCGTATGTGATGAACACCTGAACGATAAAGATCAGCGCTCATCGTCCTGTTGATGAGAAGTGATCACTGGGCGCCTATCGGCAGCTGCAAATGACCAGGAAGTGACCCGAAAAGCCCTGGATTAGTAGCGTTATGAGCGGTACTTAGTTATTCGTGAAGCACCAATTTTGGCGCTCTGTAACTTCTACGTGTCCCGCGATGCCCAATCAGGCACTCTAAAAGTAGCACAACTGCATCGCCCGTTAAAGGCTGATAGCAGATCGTTGAATTGCGTCGACTTCGAAGCACCGCCTGGTATGCATTCTGGAACGGGCGCATCTTGTTGCTGTTTGCACTGTCTTCTAATAATGATGATTCCGTTATTTGTGGCTTGACTTTGTATGGAAACAGTTCGAGGTATATAAGGGATAGAGAAAGCACTTAAGGTTTTGCAGAAACACATCTCTCATCTGTTTTAGGGACCAAGCTAAAGCAGGACTTCAGTAACCCCTCATCGTTTACATTCACACAAGTAAGTCCCATTCGACGTCAATAGTCCATTAGTGCTTACAAGTGTAACAGCATCATGCGTCCATTCGGAATCTTCAGCCTTTTGACTGCAACCCTGCTCGCTACGAGCGGTGTCTTCGCCTATGTGAGCCCATATCGATTTAATGCTAGCACAATGATCTGACTTCGAGGAATAGTATGATGACGAATACACTGGTGGCTTGACCGCTCGAGACGTCTTCGAGGACGACGTTCTCCAAGAGCGGTCCTTTGACGACATCGACGAGTACGACGCTAGGGACTACATCAATGACGAGTACGACGCTAGGGACTACCTCGATGACGAGTACGATGCTCGCGACTTCTTCGACGACGAGGACGAGTTGGCGGCCAGGTTGATCGGCAAGGTCGCAGGCCGTATTCCTCTCAAGCGCAACTCCAAAGTTCCAATTGGTGGAGGGTTCCGCCCTCGAATTGGCCGTGGTCAGGGTAGGAAAGGCCTTGGCTTCGGAAACTCTGCTGGTGGAAGGGCCCGAACAAAGATTCTGGCTCAGAACCCGGACCCCCCTCAGGGTGATAGCGTCTCCGCAAGGGAGTTCTTGGAGGAGCTTCTCGAGGCCCGTGACCAAGCTGAGCAGGCAGCGGCGCGTCGTCGCAGGAAGCAGAGGCAGAGGCTCAGGAAGGCTGGCAAGAGAAAGAGCAAGAAGTTGAAGGCTGCAGCTGCCGCTCAAGGCGCTGCTGATCCCAGTGCCCAGGCTGCCCCTGCTGGTGCTCCCGCAGCAGAAGCCGCCGCTCCTGCACCAGCGGCGTGAGCTGCTTGACGATTCGCTGTTGGCGGACTCTTCGTTACATACACCATGTAAACTTGTAGTTTGATATGCATCCGCACCTGTCTGCAAGAGACTATATTCACACTCAGGGACAGAACCCGTTTTGTTGCCCTGAACCTCCCTCCTGGCTTGGAGCAAGCTTGCTCCAAGCTTGCTCACTAAATAGAATACTGAGCTCGGCGTTTTCTCGGTGTTGTAAGTAAGTAC